GACTTTTCTAGAATTCCCCTTTGTAGTCTTACCTCTTACTTTTTTTATCTTTGCTGTCTGCTCTTCTGCGAGTCACTAGCAATGTTAATTTCTATCCCATTCTCCTTCCTTCCATTCCTGTTGCCCTCATTGAAGGGCTCATTAGCCTTACCTTAGTTATTTAAGCAGTAGGCTATTTTTCTTTCTTGGTCTCTAGTCTCTATCCACTTAAAATCCACCTCTAGGTTAGCTTATGTGAAGTGCAGTTCAGATAATAGTGACTCGCCTGCATGAAGTCTTTCTGTGAATCCTCATTGCTTATCAAATTGTTTCTAGACTCTTCGCTTTAGTATTTGAAGACCTGGAGCTTTCTTTGGACTTGCATGATAGCCGATTGCGTATGCTTACTTCGCATGGTACTGCTTGTGTTTCCTGAAAACTTTGTTGACGTTCTTGGTCCAGAAACCACACTGGAGCTGTCTTGGCACTCAGGACCCAACTGGCTCAACCTCCTTCCAAAACTAAACTGTTTCCTTCATCAAAGCTTCTTTGGTCCTTGATGGTGGATTGATTCCTCCCCCTTCTGAACTCTGCATTCCTGTAGCACTTTTCCTTCATTCTTTATGACTTATTTCTGTATTAAATTAAAGAAAGCGTCCAATATCTTCTTATCTACCTATCACACTTAGATCTGTGCCTAGTGTATAATTCAAATTAAATAATATTTAATAAACATATAAATAGCAAATGGATGATTATTTTGTCCTTCATCTACACTCTCCGTAAACTTTTGTTCCACATTTACCCAGGTGAATTAGAAAGATACTGCTTTACATGGGCCAAATTCTTTCGGATACCTCTGAGAAAAAACATTTTATTGAAATCTCATAAAAATCCTATTTCAAAATACAGAGGCCAAGTTCCAGCAAAATAAACTACAAACTACAACAAAGACTATAGCAAAAACCATACTCTTTTATGTTAAAGTATTTGTTCCTCTTTACAAATCTGAGTCAATCAGGTAGCTGATAAATATTTTTGTGTGTCTCTATCAGGTGCCCAGCTCTATGGTCGATAAGTGAGAGACTTTCAAATATTTATTTAAAAGTCAGAGTATTTATTTAAGAGTCAGAGAGTGACATGTGTCTACATGTGTTTACAACCTATGTTGCTACAATGGCCAGGGTTGGGCCCGGCAGAAGCCAGGAGCTTTGTTTGGCTCTCCCATGTGGATGGCAGTGGCCCACATACTTAGGTTACCCTCTGACTCTTTTTCCGGGTCATTAACAGGGATGTGTATGAGAAGCAGAGCAGCTGGGACATAAGCTGTTGTCCATATGAGGTGCTGGCTTTTGCTTTCATTTATCTGGCTAAGTCAAAACTAATAACAAAACATTGGCCCCTTGGTGGTTATTTAAAAATCATTCATCAGGTCACATTGTATTTTGAAAAAGGTTTCAAAAAATGAATTTTGAAGTTAGCTAACATTTGATTAAGCTTTTTAAAATTAAAAAACGAGGGCTTTCTTTTTTTTTAAGCAAACAGCAGCCTTACAAACAATAATACTTCTTTATACAAATATTAAAGTAACAATGTGTTAACTTCGAGTGATTTTATGTTAGAGTTGGAAATGAACATGGAGTAACTGCTTGTTTGCACATTACCATTCCCACCCCACCCACCTCCTCCAGCTTATTAAGAAATCAGACAAGTCTATTATTTGGATATTAATTTCTCAATATTTAAACTATGTGAATTCCTTTGACTAATTCTTTTCCAAATACTGGAAACATATAAAATACCATCTCTGCAAAAATGACCTCCAATCAAAGCCTGTAAAAAACATTTCAATGTATAACATGCGTTATTTTTCCATGTTTAGTCAAAAGAAATATATTACACATCATTTACAAACATTGAAACCAAAATTAAGCTAATATGAACATTTGTGTTTGAGAAGTAACCACATTAAAAATATTTGTATTCTTTTGTAATTTAATTTCTAAATAGACCACATGAACTTATAATTTAATGTCTTAATTGTAATGTTCTAATAATAAAAGTAGTGAAATTAGTATGAGTTGTAAAATGAAGGGATTTTTCATCTTGTTCTTTTGCTTTATGAAGGATAGTTGTTGTATCACATTTGGGGGTTAACAACAGCTTTTTTTTTGCACTATGTAAATACCAGTGGGGATTGTTCTGTACTAATAAAATGATTATTGGAAAAAAAAGATTTAAAATTGGAATATCACCATTAATTTCTTTATTTTAGCATGTTGTAATCTTCTGATTGAAATATTATCCCACTTGGTAAAATAGAGGTAAGCCTGGAAGGAGACACCCAGCTAAGCTGCCTTGCTGGTCCTGAGTCTAACACAGAAGGCTTGGTGGAGGAGCTGAAATTGGATCTGACACTTGGAAGATGGTCGGGTGGCGGGGGTCCCATTCCTTTCTACTTCCGTTTGGTTTGCTGTGGGGGGTGCAGTGAACAGATAGCATGGATGGTTCACCGGAGCATCTAACGAGTATTTGTGCTTGGCCCTGGGTACTGGTGGCTGTGGAATATCAGGTATGGGGAACTCGATGCTCACACTGCACCATCAGGAAAGTGTGCTTCTGCAGTGCATTCTCCTAACTTCAGCTTTGCTTTGGTTTATGCATTTTCAGCTTGTCTTTGAAAGTGCCTTTTTGTGTATATGTAGTTTCATGTTTTTCCCCTCCTTTAAATTTCATATTCTTCTTTTTAAAATATTTTTTTCTTTTCAGCTCAGTTTTCACTTCTTTATTTAATAATTAACTCTAATTGTCCCATGGTACTAGACTGGTATTCCCCAGCAGGAATGCACTTCACAGATTCTGTGGATACTCATCTAACTAGTCCGCTTTAGTCTTTTAAGCAGAATTCTGAGGTTCAAACACCTTGCAAAAAGTGCTGCAACCAGTGTGTACATAGTTTTGCTCAAATTGTTTTGTTACCAAATTCCAGTTGTGGCAGCAGGAGCAACAGACAAAAATCTAAGTGCTTGGTCTCTTTTCACAAAGGAAGTTGATCCCGAGAGGCTGAGCTCTTACTGAAACAGCTCCTCACAACAAGTGACTGTGTCACGAGTGGGCTTGCAAGGGTATTTTATTAATATTTATTTGTAGATCCTGCTAATGAACAAACCCGTTCTTACATTTATTTTGAGAGTCTGGAGGCTGTGTGTGCTCCCTCCCCCAGACAAATACATCTTTATTTAGTGAGTTATAGATGTTGCATCTTAGTTGGCAGATGAGCTGACTAAAGGTCGCAAGTTCTCAAGCTACTTCACACATTCCTGAATGAGGCATTTCACTTTTGTACCAGCGTAATATTATTCAGAAACGTGTACATTCAGTGAATTGCTTAGATATTTCAAAGGAGCATTCCTTAAAAGTTCATTGGGTATTTGTCAGAGGGGCAAAGATGCCAGTTAAAATGTTCAGGTCTACAGGGAGTGCCAGCTCCATTTGCACCTCTAACTTCTGCTTCTTGTTAATACAGGACCTTGAGAAGCCTAGATGATGCTTAACTAACTGGGTTCCTGCTACCCACTGTGAGGCCTGGGTTGAGTTGCTGGCTCCCACTTTTGAACTTTACCCAGCCATGATTTCTATAGTTATCTAGGGAGTTAACTTCGGGGTAGAAGTTTTCTCTTGTGCACACACTCTTAGGAAAGTAAATAAAAATTTTAAAAACACAATCTCTAGCTTATGTATCCACATCTAATATTCACCTTACTGGGCAACGCTTGGGAAATATTATCTTTTTCCATCAAAACTCAGAGTCTAGAACCAGCAGTGGTCTTGGACCTGTATTGATTTGGAGCAAATTAAGCCATTCTTTGTTAGTTGCAATGAGTTCAAAGATTCCAGTTCTATCTTTGGCATCTCCTGTCTAACTATATGTTTCCTGACATTTGTTTGGAATTTTAAATGCTTGAAATTATCAGGAGGGTTTGATAGGAAGATGTAAAGGGATTAAATCAGAAGATACCTCTTCTGTTTTATCCGTCATTGGCAGTGGTGTGGGAGTTGGGTGAGCACTGGAGTTGAGATGTTTACATTTTCTTGACCAATATGATTAACAGTGGAAAAACAACCAGAGTTGCTGAATCCTCATTTTGTCCTGAGGAATATTTCAAAAACCTAAAACACACAAGCTCTCCTATGTATCACTGCATTTTAAAAGAAGGTGTATATTTCAATATCAAAGAGTAATAAGGATAGAATTTAGACTAAATGAAAGCATTTTCAATGGAAGCATCCTTGTTGGGGATACTGTAGTGGGTTTTTTTTTTTTTTTTTTTTGTGAATGTGTGAAAATGCTCCTAAAACTCTTCATTTGTCCTTGGAGTGTTTGTGGGAAAATCTGACACCATCAGTCCCATTCTCTTTGCCAGTGATGGAACTTTTGGTTTCTGATTATGAATGAGAAACCTGCGAATGTATTTTGTCTTCTTTGGAAACATGATGTTTGACCTGTGTAGTTATAAATGGATATTGGCCGTATGTACCAGGGATATACGCGTGGTATTCGCCCTTCCGTGAACATGACACTGTTTCCTGCCTGAATCTAGCTTTGTTTTCCCCTCTCAATTATCTTTTCTCAAGAGAGTTTGCTCTCTTTGTGCAAATTTCAAGATAGATTAAAAATTCTTTTTAATTTTCAAGTTATGCTTCAATATTCTGAAAGCTTTCCCAAATAGGTCTTTTAAGTTTCTGGGGAAGGAATGAAGAGGAGGACAAGTCATTTACTGCATCAATGATATGCAGTAACATCGTGAATCCAAAGTTAAACCAGTCTGTTTCAACAAAGGATATCCTAAGTGACTACCACGTGGAAATAAATTTGTCTTTAACCTTTGTTTCTTTTATTGCTGGTCACTTTTTGAAACTGTATTGAGGTGCCTTGATTGAAATCGAACAGTAGAGCGTAATAGTTTTGAATTATAATTTCTTTTATTCTTTTCTTTTTGCTTTTTTTTTTTTCAATACAGGCTACACAGCAGGTGTCTTCGTACTCACCCAAGCTGGCTGGAACGGCATGCTCTGTCTCTTCCTCAGATGACACAGCGAAGATGCCCAGCAGTTTTTCTTCCTCTGTCTCTAAAGGAAGGCAACCCTGGCTTGATACTGTTAATAGTTCATCAGCTGATGAAAATGTGGGACACTCCAAAGCGTTGGCTGCGCAGGTTCACTGCCCTGCCCCCTCGGAAGCAAACAGTTACAAAGCCTCAGAAAGCAACTTGGCCACATCAGAAAGTGGGTTTTTGAACTCTTTGTCTAGTGATGACACGTCTTCACTGAGCAACAATCAAGACCATCTTTCTGTTCCAGACAAGCCTACTGGATCCAGGGTGATGGACAGAGGTAAGCCAAGAAATTGTATGTTCGTCTTCGGAAGACAGCTATCAGGGTGAGTGTGTGCAACAACACAATTATGAATTTGTAATGGGGATGTTTGTGTTTAACTTCACAAAAGGCGGTTCACTGACTAGTCAGTCAAGTAGTTCTCAACTAAAAGGCAACTTTCGTAAAGGAGTTTGCATCAGGGGAACCAGAACTCACTAACCAAACACTTTGAAATTTTGATGTAGCTGATATCACAGATAATGGAACTTTTCCATAAATGTCCTTTTTAAAATTCCATATCCTGTCTTCTGGCGTTTGAGTTGGCTAAATCAGGGTTTTGTGGCCTGGTGTTGCTAACAACGTTGTGCTGGCAGGTGGGCATAGAGCATTGGCATGCCCACAGATGATAATGTGCGGTTCTTAGCCATTAGCCTCCTGAATTCACTGGTGCAGTTCATAGGAAGACAGACAAAAGTACATCAGAGGACAGCACTTATAATGAAACATAAAGAAGAATATAGCGCATGCCTTTGAAAACACTTTAAATCCTAAACAAGGTGAGGGCTTCAAAAACTTTATGGAAAAATTCAAATTGTGAAAACTATGTGTATACATTTCAAAAATTTCTTTCACCAGCCATGGCGTTTAGCCTAGTAGTTGAAGCATGGGTTAAAAACTCACATTTCTTACCAGAGTACCAGATGTGACTGCCAGCCGCTGCTCCTGGCTCCAGCCAGTTCCACAGAGCCAGGAAGGCAGGGGCGATGGAGATGGCGCACGTATTTCTGTCACCCACGTGAGAGCCTGCATCGGGTTCCAAGCGTTTGGGCAGTTCCCGAGTGAATCAGCACACGGATGCTTTCTCCTTGTGCTTCTTTCCGCTTTCTCTGCCTCACTAATAAACAAAAACTTAAAGAAATATTATTTTATCAAGATAAACTTACATTTTATCTCCATTTTTCTTAACATTTTGAAGCACACTCATGAGTTTTTTGTTTTTTTTTTTTTTTTGAGAAGATCTTTTAAAAGAAGTCCTGGGCCTGGCACAGTAACCTGGGTGGTTGAAGTCCTTGCCTTACATGTGCCAGGATCCCATATGGGAACTGCTTTGTGTCCTGGCAGCCCCGCTTCCCGTCCAGCTCCCTGCTTGTGGCCTGGGAAAGCAGTGGAGGATAGCCCAAAGCCTCAGGACCTGTATCCACATGGGAAACTCAGAAGAAGCTCCTGGCTCCTGGTGTAGATAGGCTCAGCTCCAGCCGTTGTGGCCACTTGGGAAGTGAACTGGTGGACGGAGGATCTTCCTCTCTGTCTCTCCTCCGCTGTGTATCTAACTTTCCAATAAAACAAATAAACTCTCCCCAAAAGAATGAATTGTTTTTTATTACTGTTCAAGCATTATGTGTCTTTTTCAATTGGTTGTGCTTTATCTATCTTCGTGTAAAACAAATGCCCTGATGTGAAATTCTGAGCAACGAGAGTGTTCCGACTTAGCTTTGTATTTGTTCGGGGAGCTAGTGAGAGCACCTTGACTTTCTGAATTCCTGTAAGGCTTAGCTAAGGATGCTTAGCAGCACAGCTGATTGATCCCCTTTAGCCTAGTTGGGAAATGTTTGTTTGAGAGTTAATTATTTCAGCTATGCTATGTTAATTTAAATTTTGGCAGAAGAATAACTCAGGTCAAAGATCACCAGTGGCCATCAAATCATGAACAGTGTTGTGTGTGTGTGTGTGTGTGTGTGCACAATATTTCCAAAATGTGAATTTGCTTAATCTGATTTGTAACAAGTTCTGTAAGACACTGCAGGAATCACCATTCCCTGAGGTTTTACTTGAAGAGGCCTGACACACTCAAATTTTTTGTTTGGGCTCTGATGGTATTTTTGTTCCATGGCTCCGGTTTTGGCCAAATGTCTATTTTATGTTAGAAAACCAGTTGAAGTCTTTGGCCAACCTACTCCTAGAACTGAGAAGGATAGAGAGGATAAAGGAAACAACACCACTAAGGAATGTAGGGCATGGGGTTCCGACTGCCAGGAATGTAAGTAGGAGACACCAGCTGACTTCACATGTGCAAAGTGCTGTCCTGCAGACAAAATATTGGCATTATTTGTAGCACCGTGAAAGTTCAAACCTGAGGTCAGTAGTGAGTGCAAAAAGAGGTGGAGTTAAGTTTCAGATGAGAAATTTTTCTTTTTGACATTGTGAATTATTCATAATAGAATGGGCTGTTTGATAGGCTATGAAGTCGTATCACTGGAGGTGTTTGCTATTCCTGCAGCAATGATCTTTTCCTTGAATATTGACTGTGTTTTGATCACAATTTGTTTTGTTACAAAGGTATAGTGAAAAGAGAATTTAGGTATTTTGAACTTAAGTGTCCTACGATGGAACTGGAAAGATTCTTCTAGTTATAGGATTGTTGGAACTAAGGAAAGCAGCAAAACGTTCTAACGGTTGCCTGTCACTTTGCTGTTAAAATCTCTTAATTTAATCATCAAATCTTGGCTAGAAGTGAGAGTTTCATATATAACGCCACCCCTCCCCCCTACACACGTGGGTCAACCTAACATTAAGTACAGAATAGAATATTAAATTTTACGGACATCTTTCCCAAGATATAATCATATGATTAGGTGTTTCCTTTGGGGATAATAAACTGAGAGTCATAGGAAGAAATCTGTGCTTCCCTTGTCTGTGTCTAAATGACATTCTGGAATGCCCCTGCTGCAGAACCTGGCTGGGTGCCAACAGCCTGTTTAATACAAAAACAAGGAAACCTGCTGTTACTTAGTTTTGAGTTATGCGACGAGTGACCAAGACAAATCTGTGTGCTGCTTTAAGAAGCTCAATGTGAAGGTATTCCTCTCAGTAGAAAGGAAGTGAAAATAAAAGTAGTTCTGCTTCACTGATGTGTTGGCAGGTGTCATATGCTACAGAGTTTTGCTGATGATTTCCTCTAGCTTCTGGGGATTTGGTTAAATTTCCATAAGAGCTGAACCACATAAAGTAATCTCTATGGTAACGACAATCCAATCTTAGCCTGCATTTGTGATGACTGGCTGTTGAGTCATCGAATTGTATCCTGTGCATTCTTTCTACATGTGTGTGTTTGTGTGTTGAAGACAGCTTTTTCACTTCTGTAACATCTAAATAATGTTGAAATTGTCAATTTAAAAAGCTCTGAAGTTGCTGAAACACTCTGTTCAGGGTGTTTCTGTGTCAGAGATTGAAGTTTCAAAAAGACCCAAGAAAGAAGTTGAAATTTTGCAAGATTAAGTCCCTGTCCAAGATGCATTTGCTGGAAGAAGAGGCTTTTATCTTTAGAAAAGATTTCTAAAGGTTAATAACTGAGGCCTGAAACAAGCAGACAGTGTTTATTATAGCCTTGCTTTTATTTAGACAATGAAAGAAATATTTTTGCAGTTGGTAGGCACTTGAAATTGTGGTTGCTAGAATTTTATAGTGAATTTAAGTGGCATTTTCCATGTCTCTTCCTGTAGTGTAAGCTGCATCTTCTTGCCTCTTCACCCTCTGGGATGGGAGTTACAGAGCATCCATGAGTCTTCTAACAAAGCATTGGGTGCATGGAGGTGCCCCAGTTAATGGAATTCAGTCTTAGCTCAATTTTACCCTATGATCTTCCTTTCTTCCATGAAAGGCTTCGTAGCCCAAGACCTACACCACTGGGATGATAAGTCTCCTAGTACTTCTCTACATCCTTTCGAGGGCACACCGTTACAACAACAAAAAATAGACAATTTTGGCTAAAAAAGAAGAAACAATAAAATTTAAAAATTTTGTTATGAAAATATTATGCATGGATTTATTTTTATATCAAAATAACATATTTTCTACTTCTGTTTCTATTTGCATAAGCTTTTTGAGGTATACTTGTTTGTACAAACACACTGATAACAGTCAGCGTGGCTGCTATGTCACATCTACTTAGTGGATGGAATAACTATCCAGGAAAGCTGCATGACAGCTGATAAGATTAATATCCAATTTATGTAAACAAGTTGTCAAGTCCAAGTACAGGCAGAATCGATGTGGGGCTCACCTTCATGGACACACATCTTCTAGAGTGTGCTTGTCATACAAGGAAAGTGACTTTAGTGAGTCAGATTTTAGAATGTATCTTCCGTTAAAAAGACTTATTTATTTTTATGTGCAAGACACTTACAGAGAGAAGGAAAGATAGAGATAAAATCTTCCATCCACTGATTCACTCTCCAAATGGCAGCAATCAACAGAGCTCTGGGAATCGCTTCCCAGTCTCCAGTCGGGGTGCAGGATCCCAAGGACCTTGCACACAGTGCTATTAACTACTGAGTATTGTTATAAGATTTATTTCACATACTTATTCAGATAGTAGGTGGATAATATATAATAAGTTCAGGAAGAATACTCCATCATTCTGCTATTTATGTATGTTCAAACATTGCTGGTACAGACACTGGCAGGCAGTCCTGCATCCTGTTGTGAGGGTATAGTCGACGGTCTCATTGGGAGTCATTCTTTGATTTGGAAGTAGAGACACATGCTACACTGTATCTTCACATCTGGATATCAAAGTCTCTATTATGCAGTTACTGTACTTTCCCTTAGCAAAAAGCCATAAAAGAAAATCAACAACAGGAATAAAATTTTAAAAATTTACAACACCATGGAGTTAAATAATATGCTAGCAGATAACCAATGTGTCGATGAAGAAATAATAAAAGATAACAAAAAGCCTTCTTGGAGAAAACGGTGCTACTGTATGATCTATGAGTTAGCGAAAAATTTAATAAAAGAGAAGCCATTTTGAAGAAACGAAAATAAAGACAAAAATATCAAAACCCATGAGTTGCAACAAAAATCGTAATGAAAGTGTTATTGATCTTACAATTTGCATGAAGATTGAAAACATATGGTATTTGTCCTTTTGTGATTTATCTCACTGAGCACAATAGTGTCTAGTTGGGACCATTTGTTGCAAATGGTAGGATTTCATTTTTTTGTTAATGACTGAGTAG